TCCACGCAGTGTCGACTGCCCAATCAAGAGGTAGTACACTAGCCTTGCCTTCCACAGCTGCACACCTTCTCGGGTAGCAGTGGACGTCGATGGTGAGGTACATTTCAGGTGGTAAAGTGTAGTCACAGCAGTGCTGGTGCTAATGCACACCAGCGGATGTTTTAGCAAATTCATAAAATGCAGTTTTTTTGTGTTTGTTGAAAAATAAATATTCTGTGTTTTTCAGCACTGGTTATTTTACAAAAAATATCCCAAACTTTTGCATGCTCAGCACTTTTATATTGATTATTTTTTACAAGTTTTCTTGTTAATTTTTTTAGCATAGCACATTTTAAATTTTAAATGACATTATTTAAAAAAAATTATTTTGACAATAACAAATTTAGTTTTGCAATCGTTTGCATTTGTGCCATTAAAAAACACTGATAATTATAATTTAGTAAAATTTTCACAAATGTGAAAGCAAATGTAACCTAAATTGTGTGAAAAACAACAAAAACATACTTTTGACTATGCAAAAAATGGAAACAAGTCTCTATAAGCAATTGCTCCAATTTCCCGACCACTCCAAGATCAATAAGCTGCACACCATTGAAAAGCTAAAAATGCCATGAGTACTAATATGTAAATATCTAAATGGCACCCAAAACGGTTCCTGAGGAAATTGAGCCTAAACTGTATTTAGGGCAAATAGACCTTTTCAATAGTATGCAACTTATTAACGTTCAAGTAGCTGGGAAAATGGGGCAAATATGTTTTCAATTTTTTAAAACCAATTTTCAAACAAAAATTAGAACTTTTTTACTAACATTACAAACTTGATATTTGGCATGTTGATACAGCTAGTCAAGTTGAGTTGGAAAAAAGCAATGGGCAAAATTAACCATTTTTGGGCCTAAATTGAGCAATCGAAACTTTTGACTTGCTATACACTGTCAGAAAGGTAATTTTTTGTTGGTTACGAATCTTAAATAGATATGTTGAGGTGAAAAGTAGCTCTTGCACGACACTCCATAAAGTGTCCTATTGGAATGGCTTGAGTTTGCGGCGGTGCTGCTCCATCGACTGTCCATCGTACAGCGTCTCCAGCTTCACGTAGGCGGCGCTTTCCAGATTGTGATTCTAGGACAAAAGAAAAGTTCGTTTAGAAAAAGATCGCAATTTATTAAAAAATTACCAAAAGTAGAAATTAAGTTTACCCAACATAGCAGTCAGGACCAAAGATGAGAGGTGCACAATTTTCATAATTTTTGTCAAAGTTTTCCAAAAAACAATGACTTTAGCAAATGAGATCAAATCTAAAGAATTTTTTTGCACTACTAAAGTGTGAACTGAGTGCACACTTACCAACTAGTGAACAAAAAATTAAGAGAACTTAAATTGACAGAAGAAAATTTTGTTGAACTCTAGGTACATCAGCAACACATAAAGGCTCGGTTAATCACCGGATGCACACAACTTTGAAGTTTTTTAAATATACACATTCAAAGAAATTGGTCAGTCATTCGGAACCAAAGCACAAATCAATTAATTGTCCAAATTACACACTTCAGTGAGCTGTGCACCAATGTTTCACTTGATTAACCTAGCATTAGCACATTTTTCAAGTTTATAAAGCACCACCATTTACGTAATAATGATTACCTAGTTTTCTAAAAACAATAAAAAATGCTAAAACAAAAAATCAAATAATTAAAATGCATTCAAATTTTTCAAAACTTTTATCTCTTTTGCTATTACTCTTCTTCCCCGTCAACTGCCAGGAAACGGTCCCAAACACCGTCAACTTTGTCGGCCACTACCGGCAGATATCGGCGACCAACTACGACGCATTTCTCCAGGAGATTGGCATTCCTGGGTACACCAGTTTTTTAACACTCATTTTAAAATTATTTAACAAAAATGTCTCTCTTTTTTTGTCAGTTTCAAACGCTCCATCGCCGCCAAGCTGATAGTGGAAATTACCATCACTCGACCTTCTGCCGGCCCCGAGAACTCCTACACCGTCCGCTCAAAAACCTCCTTCACCGACACCACTAACACCTTCACCAGCGGCGTGGAGTTCGAGGAGGAGCGACCGGATGGAACCCGAATTCGCTCGGTAATTACCATTGAAGGTAATCGGTGGACGCAACTGCAGAAAAGCAGCCCACCGGTCACTGTGGTGCGGGACTTTTACACCAAGGGCATGGTCATTACCATGACGGCCAACGCCGTGTCGGCGGTGAAGAAGCTGAAGAGGGTGAAAGAATAAATTGTTTTTTTAATTTTAGTAATAAAACTTATCCTTAAAACTTTTTTTAAATTTTCGATAAAAATTAAAACTTTAAAACGGGTATGTTTTTCACAAGCACACACAAGTATGTTTTTTATTTTGTTTAGTTTTTATAAATAAGAGAATAGTGGCAAATGGAGTGATCGAAAGAGAAAGAGAGTAACAAACAAACAAGAGCGAGCAAAACTGCTTGTAATGACAAAACTTCATAAAAACTGAAGTGTTTGACAGGTTTTATTTTTATTTTTTGCTCAGACAGACAGTTAGACAGGCAGACAACAAACCTGAAAAGACTGCTGCTGTTTTAAATTTCGTCGCTGGCGTTGTGGGATTGTTCCTAGGCGTAGCAGGTGTTGACCGGTGGTGTCGCAGCATTTCCGAGTTTATCTGAATATATTTATTCCTCCTCATCTCCGTCCTTCACCTCAACCGTCTCCTCCTTCTTCTTCTGGCTCGCCCACTCTGGCTTGGCTGGACCCTAGGAAAAAAAAGTGAAAAATTTTTCAAGGTTATTATCAAGATATTAAATTCAATAAATGAACTCACATCTTTGTTCTCCTCCTCCATGGTGAACTTGGTCGACTGGACGCGCTTCAGGTTGTTGCGGAAGTCCTTCTCCGCCTTGGCGGCAATCTTCGCCATCTTCTCCAGCTTGCCGTCGTACTTCGCCACCTTCTTCAGCGAGGGCTTCACGCTGTACAAAGTCAAATATCATGTAAAAAATAGTACAAAGTGAAAAGAAGAGGCTTGACCGTACAATTTGCCGCGCAGGTCGTTCACTTGGATGGTCAGCTCGTTGATGATGAAGTCCTTCTGTCTGACCTCGTACTCGAGGTCGTACTTGCTGTCCTCCAGCTTCGCCATGCGACTGTAGTACTCGCGACAGACGCTCGCCAGTTTGTCTGATGCAAAAAAGAATAGATTTAAAGTTTTGATTTATTTTAAAAAAATGTGTTTGTGCTGGTGGTACCTTGGCTGAGCCCGTCCAGGTTCTGCTTGGTGCCGATGCGCTTGGCGATGCCCTCGCGACGTTCAGTC